TTGAGTTGTAACCAGGGAAAAATATCGAGAGAAAAAAAAAAAGGTACAGCAAAAGAAAAATAAAAGACTGTCTGTATTGGCTGAGTAATCAATAAAAGTACAACTACTACATAAATAACACTTCCCAAAGACAATAGAGAAGCAATGAACTTAAGTATCATAACCAAGATGTGAAACCATAGGAGTCCAGGACCATGGAGGAAGATGTGCTAGATATAACCATCACCTAAAACCCTGGAGGTTTAATAGAAATAAGAAGATCAATCACCTGGTGTTGAAATTGGGGGTGGTGGGACAAAAGGTGGGGGAGGCGAAAATGGAGGAGATCCTGGGCAGGGGCGACCAGTTACTGGGCCACATAGATTCAAGTTGTTAGCAAAACTGCAAATGACAGAGAACACTTCAGCATATCATCAACATGAGAGTCAGAAAATGCAAGAGAATTTCGACATTAACAAGAAACCTTAGGGGAGTGAATAAAGAGAAGGAGCCATTGTTCGGAACTTCTCCAGAGAGCTGATTATTTGACAGATCCCTACATTTAGAAATACAACGTCAGAGCATATAATTCTTGCAATGAACAAATACTACACATGAGACATGAGCGTGAGAGAGAGAGAGAGAGAGAGGGAGATATTGAAATAAAAAATTTGCACTCACAGTACTTGAAGTGAGGAGATATTAGTCAATGACATAGGGATCGGACCCACCAAGCTGTTGTTGTTAAGTCGGCTATCCTTACAGAAAAGTTTTCAAGAAAATAGATGTTAACATCGACAATCAATCAAATAATATTACTCATTTGAATTATTTGAAAACAACAATATTATAGACTATTTATGCTTAGCCTGTTAGAAAAGCACGAGCAAAATGTTTTATACATATTTCTTCTTTGGAATGAAATGTTTGACACGTGTGTAATATAATTACAATGATATTATAAAGCCACTTGATTTTATATGTGTGTCATGTTGACAACACAAAAATACTGAACTTAGTCTCCTTTGGGTCATCAATATTGCTGTGGTTTTGGAAGTTCAAGGAGGGCAGCCTATATTTTATTGATTTTACTTTTATATCAAATATATGTACAGACTTCTACAATTGCAGAGTTTCTTTTCAAATATCTACCAATGAAGTGAATGGAACTTTTACTTTATGAATATAATATGTAGCTTTTCAAATCCTTTACAATCTTAAACATGAAGCAGCAAATTTCTTATATGTTTGTTACATACTTGAATAGTCAAAGTACTATGACATATAGTCTTTTCCTTTCTTCCATTTCCCAAAATCAAAAAATATGGTAAGCTTATAAAATAAATTTGTGTTTTTTTATGCAAATAAATACTTCTTTCAATCTTGTTTTCTTTCCTCTTAGTCTCAGTAGTTCATGAATATATGCTCTCTTTGTTAGGCCCTCATGTTTTAGAAAACTAGCCAAATATCACGGGGCATGCGTGTCAAGAATGTGGACATTAAAGAAACAAGGTAAAAGACAAGTATACCCACAGGAATCGCAGTTTTGACAGCTTGCCCAAGGTGTCTGGGATTTGACCCGCAAAACTATTCAAATAAAGATCCAAGCTCAC